GGGCTGTTTTTCTGCAAAGGGACCAGGACGACTGATCCGTGTAAAGGAAAGAATGAATGGGGCCATATATCGTGAGATTTTGAGTGACAACCTCCTTCCATCAGCAAGGGCATTGAAGATGAAACGTGGCTGGGTCTTTCAGCATGACAATGATCCCAAACACACCGCCCGGGCAACAAAGGAGTGGCTTCGTAAGAAGCATTTCAAGGTCCTGGAGTGGCCTAGCCAGTCTCCAGATCTCAACCCCATAGAAAATCTTTGGAGGGAGTTGAAAGTCCGTGTTGCCCAGCGACAGCCCCAAAACGTCACTGCTCTAGAGGAGATCTGCATGGAGGAATGGGCCAAAATACCAGCAACAGTGTGTGAAGACCTTGTGAAGACTTACAGAAAACGTTTGACCTCTGTCATTGCCAACAAAGGGTATATAACAAAGTATTGAGATGAACTTTTGTTATTGACCAAATACTTATTTTCCACCATAATTTGCAAATAAATCTTTACTGGTAATTTTTTTTTCTCTATTTTGTCTCTCATAGTTGAGGTATGCCTAGGATGAAAATTACAGGCCTCATCTTTTTAAGTGGGAGAACTCGCACAATTAGTGGCTGACTAAATACTTTTTCCCCCACTGTATGTCTTTTATTAGTCAACTTGAAAAACACTCTAATACTCTAAGCTCGGGTTGCTTGTTTTGTGTCTTTTGCAGCTCTGCCCTCTAATTTTCTCATCTTCTTTCCAATGAAAGGTCAAGACCCCCATCCCATTCTTGCTTCATGGCACGTTACGAGAATACCAACACATTGGACTTGACTGGCTGGTCACCATGTACGAGAAAAAGCTCAACGGCATTCTGGCTGATGAGATGGGACTGGGCAAGACTATCCAGACCATCGCTCTGCTGGCTCACCTCGCCCTTGAAAAAAGTAACCAAACTGCTCCTGATGCTTTAAGCACTATTTATACAAATGTCAGTTTAATCATGTAATTCATCTGGAGTGCTCCTCATATTTTGTAAGCTAAATGAAGTTCTTCGTTTATGTTCAACTGTTGATTTCATTCGACTTTTGTTCAGGTAACTGGGGGCCTCACCTCATCATCGTCCCCACCAGTGTGATGTTGAACTGGGAAATGGAGCTAAAACGATGGTGTCCTGGATTTAAAATCCTCACATACTTTGGCAGCCAAAAGGAGAGAAAGCTGAAGAGACAGGTAAAGAGTTAACATCACAGTTGGCCTCTTCTCTTTAACTGAACGATGGTTATTATGCTCGCCAGTGGGTGAAAGCCAACCCCAGAATCTCTGCTTCACAAAGCATGATTTTGGCCATACCTCAAAAATTCATAAGCTAATTATGACAATTTCACACACATTAATAATGGGGTTAAATGATGAAGTGATGACATTTTGGAAAGATGTGGATGTAAACGGCAACATGACTAGTTTTAGGGGAGGCATTCTAACGGAAGGCAACAATTCTAGTTTCCTTCAAATTGCATTATTTCTGGTGAGCAAATGTTCCACTACAAGTCTACAGTGTGAAGGATGTGGTCACAGTTAGTTGTAACCAAGCACCAAGGACGTGAGCTCGACGTTGAGGCAAATTGGACGGTGGAACTTCTGTGTCCTGAGATCATTAGACTTTTTCCATTGACTAACATTGGCAAAGATATAACTGTCAATCAGCATATAATCTTTGTTGCTAAAACAACACCAATTCTAGTTTGGTTGAATAGCCCTTATTTAAATCATCAGGTACTCGAGAGTCCATGAACCACTGACCAACTTTCATGAACATTTAATGCTGTATCTAGTTCTCTTTTTACACTCATGGTTATAACCATATTGTTTCTTTTTTCTTAGGGCTGGACGAAGCCTAATGCTTTCCACGTGTGCATCACTTCGTACAAGCTGGTGCTGCAGGATCACCAGGCGTTCCGACGCAAGTCCTGGAGATACCTGATCCTGGACGAGGCACAAAACATCAAGAACTTCAAGTCCCAGCGCTGGCAGAGCCTGCTGAACTTCAACAGGTCAGTAATGATTTTTAATTTTAAATAGACATGTAATAACTAAGGGTTCTAAATAATAAAAACGATGTAATAACAAATAATCTGGTTTCCCCCCAAACCTCCAAAATGAAGAAGCACCACAAAAAAAGTTAGCACTAGAAGGGCCGTTGCTTAAAGTCCTTATCTTACATGAAAAACTTTTTTGGCAGTTGATTTCTGGGGGGTGTATGCAACAGATAGTCAATGTATGTTTCTTTATTTCATACTGAATAATATGTAAAAAAAGGAAAAATATTAGGTCCAATAAAATAATTTCGTGACGTCACGTGTGGTTCCCGGCTGCCGCTGTCTGGCTCCCTGCTGCCGTCCGGATCGACAGCCAATGCGCGCAGCCAGCGAGAGTTCACAACGAAAAATGGCGTCAAATATTGTTGATGTTTACGCATCAGAAAAAGCTAATAGCGCGGGTATTTGGCACAATTTGACAGAACAATTATTTGGTGTGGACGATGCGAGCAGTGACGATGAATCTGAACGATCTCTGCCGCCTTTTACACCAGAAATAAGAGGCCTAGAACCGTATAGGTTCGAGCCAGCAAAACGCGAATGTGCACCACCGGCCTTCTCTTTCGGGAACAAATGAACGGTAAAACCATCCCGATTGGTGTTGCTACCCCCGCCAACGACACACCTCTTCACCATGATCCTTAAAGCTTCGGGAAATCCGGGAAAAAACAAGACA